GAAGAATGTTCTTGATAAAACTCTTCAGAATTTGTAGATCGGATCCTATTCAGCGCTTTAGTTCCGAAGAAGGTATAACATGGAGATTTATTCCTCCTTCTTCCCCGCATTTTGGCGGATTATGGGAGGCTAATATAAAATCAATGAAGAGAAATTTTGACAAAGGTCGCGAAAACGACAATTTTGAACTTTGAAGAGCTGTATACATTAATTGCACAAATATAAGCCTGCTTGAACTCTCGACCTCTATCACCTATTTCGGCTGACCCAACAGATCTTCAGCCTTTGACTCCAGGTCATTTCCTAATAGGAGCTCCACTTTTGTCGATACCAGAACCGAATGATTCTGTAGATTCTTTGACCTTGTCTTCTAGATGGACTTTAATTCAAAAACTTAGAGCTAATTTCTGGAACCGTTGGAGCGTGAAATACCTTACTCATTTGCAGAACCGCTCAAAATGGAATCAAGTGAGGTCCAATCTCAAGGCTGGACAACTAGTCTTGTTAAAGAATAAAAACAAAACACCCATGAAGTGGACACTAGCTCGCATCGAGGAAACCTTTCCTGGTCCAGATGGACTAGTAAGAGTCGTAGACGTCAGAACTTCAGATGGATTCTTTCGCTGAGCCATCTCCAATATCAGTCCACTCCCATTTCCAAATGATGTTGGACAATTGTCCAACGGGGGCCGGGATGTTCCGGTTTGACTAGAAACTTTCACTATGCCGATGTTCCGGTTTGATTAGAAACAAACTTTTCTCTAATTCAGAAGTCAAACAACAAAAATCAGCGTTAATTTACAAAATTTTCACAGGACTAGTTTCGATGGTTTTACCGAACCATCATCTTCAGCTGCAAAACCGTAAATGAACAAGATAGGAAATAATGTTTAGAATCCTTGTTAATCCCCATCCTTGTTGTAGCCTCCAGTGTTACCAAAGGAATGAGATTCAAATATATGTATTTTTGTACAAATTCAAATATATGTATTTTGTTCATTTACGGTTTTGCAGCTGAAGATGATGGTTCGGTAAAACCATCGAAACTAGTCCTGTGAAAATTTTGTAAATTAACGCTGATTTTTGTTGTTTGACTTCTGAATTAGTATTTATTCGGCGTGTTATTGTGTCTTAAACTTTTCTCTGCCTCGAAATGGCAACAGTGAGAACTTGACTTTCGATTCGTTATGACGCAGCTTGAACGCTGCTCATGAGATGCAACATTAGATTCGATTCTAGATTAGATTAATTTTAGTATTTTAATAAATCCTTTTAAAACTAGATTGAGTATTTGATCATAGAATTATAGCTGAACCACCGCTTGCAGAAATTTAGATGTGGCATTTAGATACGTCATTAGATTAATAGTTAGATGCGCAGGCAGCGACATTCGTGATTCGAATAGTGTACATTAGTGCGTACATAAACACATGGTTTAAAGAAACTTGGTAAAAAGTACATTCAGCCCCATATACAAAAATACATATATTTGAATCTCATTCCTTTGGTAACACTGGAGGCTACAACAAGGATGGGGATTCTCTGTGTTGTAAAAGGGGAATCCATAGCATGTATTTCACAACAGTAAAGCTATTTGATTCATGTGAACTAGTACCAAAGAGAGTCTATGTAAAGAAGGAAAGGCTCCATAGACGTAATGTAAACCAGTTTGTCTTCTACGCCGCTAGAAAGAAGAGGGACAATTTGCCAAGGGATTTTGCAACGGAACCTGCTGGTGAGAATTTCCCCCTTTGTGATGTACCTGTCCGAGATTTTCCACCTCCGCGACGTGTACAGGAAATCGAGGCATACGGGTTAAAATGAATCGTTCTTTGACTTTTGCGATAATTTAAACTCGAATTTTCATGCTTTTTTGCTTTACTAGTTGAACATGTATTATCCATATCGCAGTTTGATGTCTGATTTTATATCTGTCAATATGTAGGGAAAAAAATGAAGTCGCACAGCTTTAAACTCTTGATAAACGTGACCGTCGAACCTGTTCGAACATCGACATCAGCTTCGAGTTTTGGCTCTTTTTCGCGACTGATATTTCATGCATGCGCAGTTGTGTCCATTTTCGTTCGGAGGGAGCCTCTCCTGCTGCAGCGAAGCTTTCCTTCTTATCAATACATATTCTTTGCTAGCACAGTATCACAATTTTAGCAGCAAAGCTTACATAATTTTCATCTACATATTTGAATGTTTACTGGTAAGTTTTCAACATTAATACTTTTGTGGCATTTTTAGAATTTATGTAAATTTTTTAAGGTTTTATAATGCCAAAATATTTGAAGGGAATAAAAGTTATTTCTTTAGAAACAAAAATTAAAATATTAGATAGTCTATGTAATAGAGAAAGAGTAACGGATGTTGTTAAATTTTATTCCATGAATGAAGCCACAATAAGAACATTTACAAAAAATGAAGATTATTAGAAAAAGTGTAGCAGTTAGAGCACAATTTCATATGTAGATGATACACTGGAAAATATGGAAAAGACATTAGTGTTATGGATAGAAGACCAAAATAAAAACGGATTTCAATTGACACTAATGCTATTACAAATAAGGCTTTAAAGATTTATAAAGCACTTTTAAAGAATCAGTCACTGCAATTTCCATCAGATGAAAAAACGGTATCTTTTCCACAAGTCATGGTTGGTTTGAGAGATACTCCTGCACTTCTGATTAGATCTTCAATGCTGACAAGTCCGGGTTGTTCTGGAAAAAAATGCCTGAAAGAACCTATTTAGGTAAAGCTTGTAAATCAGCTAGTGGTCATAAGGTAGCAAAAATTAGTATAACAATTCTTTTCTGTTGCAACACTTCAAGCAATTATATAACGAAACCATTAGTTATTAACAAATCAAAAACACCACACTCATTAAAGGGAATAAACATAAATAATCCTTCCGTTTATTGGGTGGCTAATAAAGAATGGGTACTGCCATAGCTTTCAATGAATGGTTTAACATGCTTGTCCAGTCAAGAGGAAAAAAAAAAAAAACAGAGAAAAGAGGAATGCTTTTTAAGGCTCCTCTATTAATTGATAATGAACCTGGTCATACACAAGATTTACAACACGAAAATGCAGTTGTCTTTTTACCAAAGAATACAACTTCATTATTACAGCTGTTAGATCAAGAAATAATTTTGACTTTTAAGGCATTGTAGATCAAATCTTCATGTATACTTTAAAACAAATGGAGAATAATAAATATCTTACTCTTAAGGATACTTGGAAGAAATTTACAATCTTAGATTGTGTTAAGCATTAATTCAGAAGTCAAACAACATGTTAGATATTAGCATGTGTTAAGCATGTTAGATGTTATATACTCAGATTAAACAATCAACGCATGCTGGAAAGCAGTATGGCCGGATTCTTCTAAAGATGAGAATGATAGATTACCTTTACAGAATGAATATTGTTAAATCACTAAATTGGCCCACACTATAGGAAGAGAAGGTTTTGAGGATTTAGCTCAGGTAGATATTGAAAAATAATCGATGAACTAAGTGAAGATGAATTAGTTAACATGATTTATGAAACAAATAAAAACATGACGAAGAGAAATCTTAACCAGTTGAGTTCACAGGAAGAGTCATCAGCACAGGAGTTGAATTGGGAACAAAATCAGGTAATTTTTTACAATATGACACAAATGTCAAATGAGCTCTTCGATTCCAACAGGAGCTTAGAAAGTGCTCAAATTAGATTGAGAAGGTTTATAAAAGTTTAGTGGGAAAGGGGGGGGAACTAGGCATGTGTTAATTACGGATTTCACTATAAAGTCTTGCCAATCTGAGATCTTCCCTAATTCGTCAACCATTGAAGCAGAATGTTATCAAGAATGCTCAAGTGATGAAAGTGACATCATACCAATCAAGAAAAAAAAAACAACAGTTCATAAAAGTGATAACAGTGATTAAACTTATAATAATTTTTTGGATGATCTCATATTTTCCTAAAATAAATTAAATATGTACTTCTATTACCTACATATATTTGTTGTTTTATGAATGAAGTATAACTTTATTTATTTTAAGATGTCTCACTGTTTTATGCAAATAAACTAAATTATGCACATTTAGTGTGTTTTTCATTTTACATAGCAAAATACAAGATTTAGATTTACACGGTTTTGTGCATTACTCATCTTTTGTGTAAATCAAGGGATAGGTGTACAAATAATTAATGCAAACAATCCATCATCTATGAGTATAAAATATATCTAAATGACAGTTCTTTTTGAAGACTGCAGTTTTTACAAAATACATTTTATAAATTTCATGCAGTGAAACGTAAAAGGAAACAAAAATCATATGATTTGCCTTTCAATAGCACAGTGATTGGTGGTAAGCACACTTCCCACCGAAAAAAAGGGGCGAGGCTTAAAGATCAAATTTATTTTATCTAATAAACTAATGAATTACCTTAAATCAATCCTGATCCCCAAAATATTTTAATATAGAGTCACTAGGATAAAGAGGTTTAGATTTTAATGGTCACCCAATATCCGTAGAGATAATCAATACAGATAGCCCAGGTTAAATAGCTGAACATGTTATAGGACACTACATGAATATATGCCTAGGCCAACATGGGAACATTATACAGCTTCTGTATATTTGAAAAGCAGGAGAGAGGAATGCATTTTATTTAAATCAATGAAATTAAAAAGTAAAAAAAAGTGCCTTCAGAATTGCATCTTATGTCTTTAAATAGTTTAACAGCCAAGTTAAATCTGAAAAATAAATATCATACATTCTGTCAAAAAGTGAAAAAAATGCAAAATCAAATTTAAAGATTAATAGCCTTTTTGAGATAATAATTCAAAAGCAGATATTCTAAAAAAAAGCATTCATTAAATTAAAAATAATGCATTTCTTATAGTTAATGCATACAGTAATTTTTCAAATGTCAAAAATTAATTTTTTTTTTCAATTTAAAAGATAAAAAGAAATGTAAAAATGAATGCAGGAAATTTTGCTTACTTTGCCACCAGATGCACAAAGAGAACCATCAGGAGACACTGTAACAGTATTTAAATAACCATGATGACCAATATGATTTGTTTTCAAACGGCAGTTTGTAAGGTTCCAAACCTGTATAAAACACAAATCAGTTAATTCCATCTTAATCACTTTGGTTATAATATAAGTATGAATGAGTTTGCACATACCTTTACGTAACGATCCCAACCGCAGGATACAATGATTGGATTGTTATTGTTAGGAGAGAATCTTACACAAGATACCCAGTCGGTGTGCCCATCTTCCTGTAAATGACAGTTCACGATAAAGAGCACAATTTAAATTGAAATACCCCCCCCAGAAAACAACAAAAGTTAATGCAGATAAAAATATAAATTATAAGTTACATTGCCAGCATTTTGAGAAGGTTATGAATAAATAAAAAAGTAAGCAACACCATAATTTGATCAACTATACCTGAATCAATAATATTCTTCCAACACATAAGTTCTAATCCCACACCAGCCAGGTTATTTGGGGAAAATGTATTAATTCCTTAGGGGTGTATTTTTTTCTATTAACGAAATTTTAAACCAGTCACAAGACAGTTTAAAAAAAGAGAATTTTTCCTAGTGAATAAAGAATAGTGTAGAGCTTTGCAAGTTCCCTGGGATTAGCATTAGCAAATTCATGTGCAACCCACCTGCCAATCTTAAACATGATTCTAAGTTCCTTCAACAGCTGCATATAGATTTTTCTGGAAGTAGTCTTATACATAGGCACTTTATGATAGTTTTACAAATCTTTCATTTAAAAAATGTAAAATATTCTAGTTTGAGTTTTATGGTTAGTTGAATACCGGCTAGTCAGGCTTTTAACATATTTACACTACCACACTTCACATACTGCAGCCCTATTTGACATCACCTAACCATCATTGGTGATTGCCAAGTTTTTTTAATATGACTGATAGACTATTTTTTTATCATGATTAAATGAATCCTTTTCTTATTCCAGCAATATTTTGGATTTAATCATGTAGTAAGAACAAGAAACACGTAGTGAAATGTTCGTTTGGTATAAAATGTGCATGAGAGTCGGATTACAGATCAGAAGGATCAGAGTAAATTGCTAACTTCAGCAACAGCTTATTTACCAGAATAAAGTTGATCATAGCAATGGATTTTTGGTGATATTACGAATAAAATTTTTTTCTAAACCGGTATAGGATAGCAGAGCAGCAACACTGTTCATTAACTAAGCAAGCTAAATTACACAAACTTTGAAGATTTCAAAGTGATTCATGTGCATAAACAGAATCAAATAAACATAAAAAATTGAAAGACTATAGGGCCATAGAAACAAAAGGGCGAGGTGGGAATAGCCTGCTGATAGATGCTGATCTAGCACAATTAATGAAGCAACAAAAAAATTAAATTTAGTACATTCTTTTATTGATATTTTACCAGCTTGCTGAAAAAATTCTAACACCATAAATTTAAAATGGTGTTTTTAAATTTTAATAATATTACATATTAAATAGTTGAGAAAATTTCTCTACAGTTAACATTTGCCTTTACTTTTCACATTTGATTTTAAATCTTGGAAGCTTAACAGCCAAACTTACATAATTCCATTTTTCTATTAAAATTCACATTACACTCTTGATTTTTGTTGAATCCTGGATTTTAGATTTAACATGTTGGAGTGATAAACACAAAACATACTTTTTCATTTTCGAATGAAGAGATGTCACAAATACCTGCTCAATTATGAGTGGTGAATGACCTTACACGGGGTTGTACTGATAAGAATATGATTATCAAATTGTAAAACTAAATGAACTTCATCAATATCATACACAGTACTAATTTTCAAACAACAAAATCACAGCAGGGATTTTGCAGTGTACTATACTACAAACGCTTTCACATTATCTTGCAGATTGGTGGAGATGTTAATTCCATAGTAATAGTTTCATAAAATAAAAAAATTCGATAGCTTCCATTCAAATATGTGATAAAGAAAAAAGGTGGGAAAAAGAAAGAAAACAACAAATTTCAATTGCTCTGTTTAAAAACAGCTAACTTCAAGCAGTAGATTGCATACACTACATCAATATAGCTGCCAACCTTTAAATATGAAAAATGGGGAGATTTTTGCACTGTGCAGGTGGAACCATTTTAACAATTCACCTTATAAATCATACTTAAATTTACTGAACTGGTTCTATGTTAACATTTAAATACATTCTAAATTTTCTTTGCCCTTTTATATTAGGGAAGGGGATCTTTAGTTTATCAAAGCACTTTTCATAGAAAAGAATATCTGATTAATAATTAAATATTATTTTTAATTAACATGCACACTATAATGTAGATAAACTTAATAGTGTAATATATATTGATGTAAAACAAAATTTAAAATAATTACCAACTGATTCAATCAAATGGTGAAATTGTACAAATGTCTACAGTAAATTAACCACTTGTGCTAAAAAGACGTGCCATGCACGTTGAGATGCTTTTGTTGCAAACCGCGAGCGACATAACCACCGCGTCAATAGGCATTTATTGCAAAAATGAAAATAACGTGGTGCACACGTCCCCTAACAACAAGATTGTTTATTTCTCGAGTTACAGCTCTGGATTGCACTCGCAGACGCGGAGCAGCGTAAATGAGACACTTTACCGCTTGTTATATTGTAGTGCACGGCACCACAACCATGAAGTTTAGCCGTAGCACAAGTGGTTAACTATTCAGACCACATAAAATTTAAGAAAAATTATGCCAAACATCACTAGAAGTGGGGAATGAAACTTAAATTGAGCAAATTTTATTCACACAGATTTGGTAACCTACCAGGAGATGGGTAAAAAAAACTGAAGAGTGGGCAGCTTTACAATACCAATATTTTATAAGAATTTATTTAATCACTCTCAACTGCTATTTGTCTTGCTTTTCCTTTTAGTGTATCATGCTTTTTTGGCAAGTTCCAAATATTTATTATTGTAAATAAGAGTTAGAGTTTATGGTATATTGAAATAAAATCTGTTAACATGGTTTGTAGCAAAAAAACCTATACAACTCATTACAGAACTTCCATCTGTTTAGCAACAAAATTCTTAAAATTTAAGAATCATCAATTGATTTTGAAACAAAGCAAAAATGCATTAATATCATACCTAAATATTTTCAGAACTACTGTGATGTTCTATGAGGTAATGCAGTACAAAATCCGAGATCCAGAATGATCTAAAATCCAGACCTAAAAGCCTCCACCACTGTTTTTTTTTTGGTATGCTTTATCCATGCACATTTGATTTTTTTCCACCATAATAAAATATGTGGAGAGTTCCCATTCTTAATTTCACTTTGGCACTAAAATACCTTGCTATTCAAGAAACATTTTAGCACATATTTGTGTGATCAATAATGTAGCTCCATAACGGCAGATCTGCTTGGCATACATCTCAAACCGAAACATTCTCATAGCATGTTTATCAACACATTGATAACTTAGTAATGACTCATGCAGCGATGCCTAAATATTTTTTTTTACATTAGTAATTGAATAGCAAAAAGTATGGTAACCATTTATGGTGACATTACGATAGGCCATGATTACAGATTTAAGTTAAATACACTAAGAAATGTTGAAGAGGAAAAGTTTCTTTCCACGTGTTAAATACAGATTTTATTAACGATACTCATAGAGAAAAAGATTACATTTAGTGCTATTTGAATTAAGAATAACTGATTTGTTATTTACATAAACGCAGAATCGGTGCCAGAGCTTGCATGGCTGCACCAGGCGACAGAATTTATGAAAGACAAAAGTTTTGGGTTTTAGAGAAGCACGGAGCAGCAAAATTGATTTTTTTTTTAAATTTATTGAAAGCACTGGGACCCAAATTTAGAACTTAGGGAGGCATTGGATAGCAAAATTTAGGACCCCCCAGAGACTGTATCAATGTGGTACGATATCTACCGTCAGCCCTCGATAAGTCTTAAGCATTTGCAAAAAATAGACGTAAGTATAATAAATAACTAATTGAATATAATTCAGGCTTAACTGCGTCAGTGCATGATAGAAGGAACACAAAATTTAACGGAAGAACTTATCTTTCATTGCCAATCTCACGATACATAGTCAATAATGTAAAGTGTATGTTATTAAGCTAAGTTAAAATTAAACTTTACTGATTCCAAAGAATTTCAATTAATATAGCAGATTGCCTGTTCCTTAACTTTCTGATTTGATCTAGCTTATTATTTTTTTCAGGCTGTTATTATTACAGCAATTTTATAAAAATTAAAGGCCTAAAGTGCAGAATCGCCCACTTATTTGTTTGACACTTTTTACAAGAGTAAGAAGAATTGGATTTTTGTCAATTTTCTTTGACTTTTTAAAAGGAAATAGGTCTATGTGTACATGGATTAAGTCAAGAGTGTGCACAATGCCATTTTTGTGCAATTCTGGGATTATTTTTTTAAGTGAAAATAGGTCGACGTGCACATGGATACCACGTATGTACAATTCTTGAAAACATGCCAAGCAGCGAGCGATTCTGCACTTTCACCAATTAAAGTTTGGAATTGCTACAAAAAATGGATAAAGGTATATCCATCTCAAAATTATGCGAGGAGTACGACATTGGAAAGTCGACTCTACATGACATAAGAAAAGAGAAAAAGGAATTTTTGGTAATTTCGACAGTCATTCGCAATGAATAACAGAAAAAATTACTTGTTATGCTAGAACTGTAGATCATGACAAAATAATGATTGAAAGGATCAGATAGCGTCATTGTGAGGACATACCTTTGACAGTTACATTGCTAATGGCTCCAACCAAATATATTTCATGAAAAAATGAACTTGAAAATAATAAATTTGTAAATATTAGACAAATTGGTTAACCAAATTTTTAAAATTGCCTTAGTACAAGGCAATTAAAAATTTTGGTGGAAAAGCTTCAGCTTATTCTGATCCATTTGCAGATAAATTCATTGAACTCATTAATAGTGGAAAGTTATTTCCAGAACAAATTTATAGTGCTGATGAAACTGGTATTTTCTGGCAAAACGTACTGGCGAAATGCCTTGGAAACCTCTACAGAAAAGATTCCAGAAAAGCGAAACTAACAATTTAAGTATGCGCAAATGCTGCAGAAATGCACAAGTGTAAACTCTTCGTAATTGGGAAAAATACATGAGGTCCGGCATTTAAAGGAACAAAGAATTTCCTTGTTATATACTGTGAAAATAAAGAGCATGGATGACACAAGCATTAATGAACAATTGTTTTAAAATCATTTCATTTCGAGGGTTGGCAATTCAGTTCGTTTACCTGATTATGCAAAAATTGTCCTGACTGTAGACAACTGTTTGCTCATACTTCACTTACAGTTTTAGTGAAAGATAATGTATCCCCAAATTGTAAGTCCATCATTCAGCCAGCCTATGGATATTGTAATAGTGGGTGTGCTGAAACGCATATATAAAGTAGCATTTTTAAAATCCATGTTAAATTTCTTGAATAATAGCAAGACTGTTCAAGAATTTTTTAATTATTTTAGGATAAAATCTACTATACTATATTTGTGTATCTGCACTGAGCTTTGAAAGATGGTGGAAGGATGTGTCTCCAGCTAATTTAAAAAATGCTTGGCATAATTTATGGAAAGCTACCATATTTCATGGTGAGGGTGATTAAGATGATAGCTTCAAATTTTAAGGTTTTCGGACATCACAAACCAAAGGTGAAATTGTCCAATTAATGAATTTTGTAAAGAAATGTGGAGAAGTGGTAATAAATAAACATGATATAACAGAAGTTTTTCATTGCAATGCCAAATCCCTGATCATTAATCAATTAAGGTGTGGCAAAATTTGTAGTATGGTTCTAGATCCAGAAAATACTGCTACCGATAGTGAAAAAAGTGACAAAGGTTATTGCAAACGAAAAATTTTTGGTTCTTACGTATTAACGCAACCAGGCCAAAATTCGCATAAATCGCCAAATTTGGCAACCCTATGTGTTATACGTAGTTTTGTAAAAAGAAAAAATAACACTGGGAGTGTACTACCACAGCAATGGTTTCTGGCGGAATTTGCCGAGAAAAGAAAGAGACTTTTTTGGTTACTGTACCTAACAGAAGCGCCGTTACCCTCATGGAGAAAATTTGCGAAAATCAAGAAAGGATGCATCATTTATTCGGATTGCTGGAAAGGATACAATACAAGTGAGTTCAAAAATGCTGGATTTCTGCATGGAACTGTTAATTACAAATATAACTTTGTGGATTCCAACACGGGCGTTCCCACACAACATGTAGAGCGCATGTGGGGCTCAGCCAAATGGCGCAACAAAAAACAGAGAGGAACAGCCCGTCATCATCTTGACTCATACCTTATCGAATTTATATGGTGCCAAGCTCAAGCTGTTAATGGCGAAGATGGTTTTCAATCAGTGCTAAAAGCAATAGCCAAAAGATTTCCACTGAAAAAATAATTCTGCAACTTATTCAAATTCAAAACAACCGGAACGGTTTAATTGCTATTTTATATTTTAAAACAAAATAATATAAAAAACTGTATTAAAAATTATCTGTAATTAAATAAATGTACATTTTCTTTCTATTCATACTTTTTTACTCAAACTCGTAAATCGCGCCAACCTGGTTGCGATAATACGCAAGTACCAAATTTTTTATTAACAAGTTAGTCGGAATTCTCGACCCAGCAATTACAGCACTCGAACAAAATGGAACTTTGTAACTAAACAAGAAATTACATCTGTCTACAAAATTAAAGAGAAAGTATTAGCACAAAAATCGAAGCAACACGTGGTACGGTGTGCCCGACAGTCGGGCACACACCTAAAAATTTCCTTCTGTACGCAGAGAAAAATTGATTGAAACAGGATTTATAGGTTACTATGAACCTTCTTTATTTATAGTAGATGGCAGCCCAACACAAACCAGTCCATATATTTTAGCCATGTTTAATTTATAAAAACCTTCATTTTTCAAAGAAATTTTCCACATTTTTTTAAGGATACAAAAGAAATTGTTTAAAGATTAATTTCGATGTTATTTTCTTGGCTGCATACTAATCTCCTTATTCTATATTAGTTTTAAATTTGTACCTTGAAATCTTCCCTAAAATCAAATGGCGAACAGAGTGGGATACCACTGAGAGACTAAAACAAGACAACAACTGTATCTTTGTTTCTCTGCAGCTCATTCACAATATAAAGGTGAGTCCACAGCAGTATTTCATTTCCTGTTTCTCTCTCTCTCTTTTATCTTTTTGGGAAGGGAGGTTTGGCTATCAACTAAAAAATTGTTGGGGTGATTTTCTGGAGGTTGGGTAATTTTATCAGCTAGATGTTTGGTTTTTCACAGTTCTTTTTTCTCTTTCGTTCAAAGAAGTTTTGAGTTGTAGACGTTTAATTTTATTTTATAGTTTATAATTTCTAATTGTATATATAATAATATTAGTTTACTTTTTACGGAATTTTAATTATTTTTGAAATGGATCGAAGATGGCTGACATTTCTGAAACACTGAAAGTGATACACAAATTGCCTTCAGATAATGAATCTGATACGGATCCTGGCACATATGTTAAAAATTCAATGTTTTAATTGTGTTTTTTCAAAGGTTGTGCCATTTTCTTTGAAAAGTATCTCTGTGAAAAAATAGACGAAAGCGTAAATTGAAATGTAAATAATGCAACTATCATATACCCAAGTAACTTTTTATTTTCCATTTATATGCATGTAATCATATAACCAAGAGCTTTTCAGGGGTGACGAGTAGCAGGCCTTCCAGTGGCACACCCTGGGTAATGCTAAATCTGCTACGGTATTCAGAAAGTAGTGATTTTTAATCACAGACAATATCTCTTAACTTACGCACAAATCTTAATTTTTACGTGCTCCCCAGCTATGCTTGTTTTTGCTATCTTCACAAAATTTTATCTCCTGTATACTCTTCCAGGCCTTGATTAGACTGCTGCCCCCTTTTTTTCGTCAAAATTACAACTTTAACCGTTTGACTGGTATGTGGCGCAAAAGCGCTGCATTCATTTGTCTTGAAAACCGCAACGCAGTGCAAGAGCACTGCGAGTTTCAATATGTCTTTGTTGCTCCGTGGGTGTGAACGTACATAGTCTGACCTAACGCGTACTTTGTAACACGAATGCATTCTAAAATAACTAACTGCATTGCGGTTTTCGAGACAAATGAACGCAGCACTTTTGTGCCGTGTAGCAATCAAATGATTAAAAGGTAGCATGCCAGAAAGAGTTCAACAACTTACATTGAAAGAAATGTTCAATAAAGTAAATAGATATCAAGCCTTTTGTTTTATAAATTCTGACACCCTTTAGATCATAAATGCTTTAATACTTCATAAATCATGATTTCATTATTTTAATTTCTATATGCCATCTTACTAGATTTAAACTGATAATCTAAAATCCAGAAAAATCGGAAATCCGGAATTTCCGAACTCGCGATCTCAAGACTTTGTAATTATTTTCTTTAAAAATAAATAAAGGAATTACCTGGATTGTGTATTTGCACTGAGCTAATGTGTTCCATAATTTGATAGTTTTATCTCGGGATCCAGACACTATTTGACGGTTATCGGCAGAAAAGGCGACACTGAGAACATCCTTGGTATGATCTTCGAAACGTCGAGTAGTTTTACCACTGTAAAACAGTTTTAAATTATATACATAAAGGACTAAATCAGAAACACTACATTAGATGCACAAAAACATCAAGAACGAGCACTGTTTGAAATTAAGAAGAATTCTGATTACCTTGGGACAAAAGGGTTGGGTGGGTTAGAGAATTTTGCAGATTACAAGTCATGCCTGTCTTTTTTTTATATTTTAAAATAGATATATGCATATGAAGAAATTGCTGGCAAGAGAAAACTGTTGGGAGAAAAAAAAAAGGGATAAATGATTTTAAAAAAATTTTCCAAAAAAGGGTAAATGATAAAAAAAAAATTTTCCTTAGCCCGCGAGAACGTGCGTCGGGCCTGCGAGGCCCAGTCTTTACTATAACGTAATACAAAAATTTTTCCCTTTGGTAAAATTTTTCGACCTTCTCAGTAGCTGCGTTTAAGGTCATGTACCTGTCATTCACAAGCATTTCCGGAATTTAAGTCTTCATCTTTTCTCAGAAACTGAGTAATGAGGCTTCCCAGGCCCGAGGAGCACACTTGCATTGTCATTTAAAATTGTGAAAGTGATCGGGCAGTTGCAAAAAGGTCTTGCTATTTGAGCTATGACAATGAAATGAAAAGACTACAGAAACTATTAGCCGACGTGTTGACTGATGAAGATACAATTGATGAAGAGGACGAAGAAATAGTTGGTGAAGAACAGTTTAGTGATCACACAACAAATAAATATTAAGCTTTTTTTTTTTGTAAATTTTGATACCCTTTAGATCATGATTGTTCTTTATTTCATAAATTATGGTTTCATATTTTTAATTTTAGAATTTCTGCATGCCATCTTACGAGATTTAAACTGATGATCTATAATCCGGAATCGCCGAAGTCCCGACGAGTTCGGATTAAAGACTTTTGACTGTAATTAAGAACACAACATAAACAGCCGTGTTACAAATTAGCATTCATCCCTCCCGCCGTATTTTCATCCTTCGATCCCGAACTGATGAGCCGAGAACCGGCATCTATCAATGAAAACTTCTTTAATTATACGAAAATATTCCTATCTATTCATTATTAAAAAATTCAGAAAAAATAATAATAAATAAGAGAAGAATAATATAAATCTCCAAATGTGAACAACGACAACCTTCGAACAAGCAAATAGGATGAATTGGCTAGGTTACCAGATTTGAACTATTATCGCCTAAGTTGGCAATGTTTACATTTGCCGGGTTTTCTGCAAAAGTGTTTCCAAAGCAGCAAACAAATAAGTGGGCAATTCTGCATTTTAACCGAGTTTTTTTTTTTTTTTTTCTAACACTCGTAAATTTATGCGACCCGAGCTTTAATCAAGAGTGGTGGTACTAAAGGTTTTCAATTTTTGTTTAGATGGTATGTATTAGTCAAAAGGATGAGAACCGTTGGTGGGCTTCATCCTAGTATACGGTGCACGAGAGTTGGAGAAATTTGGGCTTAAGAGACTAATAAGCATGCCAATAGTGGTAACCAAGCCGATTTTGGATGCTCTGGAAGAGAGTGCATTTTCGCGCATGCTCATTAAATATTTTAAATTGAGAAGTTTTGATTGGCGCAGATGGAAGAGAATTATTTCAAACTATTGTTTGAAGTTCCGTTAATCTTTGGTCTTCGGCTGAACTGAATGAGAAAGGATAACGTATGTTCAGGTAAAATTTATTTATCTTTTATTTTTTGTATTTTTTAAAATAACAGTAGTGGTTCCGCCGAGTTTCTGATTGGTTAATACTTTTTAATTAATCGGTTTTTGGTCAGATACTGAATATGAGTTTAGTTTGATAACGTCTTTTATTCTACAGTTCAAGTTGCTAAGGTATTTTGTTCTACAGTTCTATTTGCTAACGTAACTTTTGGATTATGATGTGCAGTGCTATGAATTGCGAATATTTAAACACAAAATTTTTTTGGAAGAAGACTTAGTTAGAACTGGAAGGAAAGCCTGCTGTAATTCAATGGGCAGTAGATGCCAGATTTTAAAAATCGAGCCATGGTCGCACCGCATACTAGGATTTGGAAGGAACGTGGAGTGCTGTTAAGCGTGGGATGAAGGGGACGAAAAAGATAAGCGAAGAGTTTAACTCTTATTTGGTGGAATATATGTCGCGGCGCCTGAAAAATAATAAATTGTCATCCGAAAAAATGAAAGACTTTATATTTGCAATAAAAGCAATATATCCACCACCCGAGTTTGAGGGCTATGGTATTTGAGTTATGATATAGACCTTAAAACATATGTGACATTGAGCCATGGTATTTAATTTATTATATTTGATACGTGAATGTTTTGTATTTGTTGCAATGCATGTTGAAAATTATATTTTTATTTGTTATAAAGTCTGTTAAAAATTATTTTCAATTTCTAAATGCTTGCTTTTTTTCTTGTCTCACCATATGCTTAGGATTTATTATCTTATGATTATCATTTTGTTTACTTCTTTTTGCCAACTCAAAGTTGTGGTGACGCTTTCCTTTGAGGTTGCCAATTTGCCGACAAGTTTAAAAATCACGCCAAGGTCGCACCGTATACTGGGATTTTACCCCGCTGGTGTATAGCATATGACAGTGAAGCATAACTTATGCTAAAGCAAGATACTATTCTTATGTTCATTTTATATATTCACGTTGCCTTATGTAAAATGAACGTTAATGGTTACTTTTAAGATGCTACGACTATAAAAATTTAGCACCTTCTACATAAGGAATTTCATACACATATTACACAAGAGAAATAGCAGAAATCTTATTTACCTGTTCTAAAATCCCAAAAAGGTGTCCAAAAACTGGCTAATTGATAGGAAAAAAAAAAAAAAAAACGTAAAAATATTGTAAATTTCTCACCCCCCCCCCAGGATTTGAATTTGAAAATGTACCATATTTACATGTGAATTTTTATATATGTGTATGAGATAATTTTCTTATGAAAGTTACTCTCGAAGTTAATGCATTGTAAGAATTATATTATTACAAATAATTCTGTGCAGAGTACTGACTTGCAGCTTAACAGTGATTGCAAACCTCTTAGCTTCAATTTGTTTAACACACCCAAACACTCACAACAAACCAGAAGTTCTGCTAAACTCTTATTAGGCTTCTTTAAAATTACTTACTATGTTAAATCCCACAAACGCAGGGTCTTATCCCAAGAACACGATAATGCATATTGTCCATCAGACGACATAACTACATCCGTTACAAAATGACCATGTCCACGAAGACGTTTTTGAGGGATTCCATAATTGGTTTCTTCACGAGTTAACTTCCACATGATGAGAGTTTTATCTATAATTGAGAAATATTAGCATTATAGAAAGTAGTTCTGTGAAAAAGTTTATAACAAATCTAATTTTACCCGTACACTAAAAAACATATTTTATTAAAAGTGTAAACATTCCACACGTCTACACATCCCGTTAGACGTAAATATTACTTAAAGATCTCAGAAACTCATTTTAATGTTATCATAGGTCTTATATTTCATTAGCTATAAAAAATGACGATTATTTTCTATACAAATATAACATAAAATTGAAAATATATTTACCCCGAGAGGATGACAGAATCATGTCAGGAAATTTTGGGTTTGTAGCAATTTGCGTCACCCAATTATTATGGCCTCGTAAGGTACCCCTCAAATAAAGTTGTTCCGTCATATTGAAAATAATTAATTAAAACAAATTCAGAAAGATGATTATAGATTTTAGATTCAACACTCGGGGCCAAACTCCATGTATAGAGCGATAATGCGGTTTACAGTTACACGATGTGCTCTGAATTTTTTAATATACTATTGTCCATTTTAGGATATTTTCTTTATAACAGTAAATAATTAAGATAGAAAAAAAATCGTACTTTAAAGAAGCTTTAGAAACAATTTTTATCCTTTATCTTTGTGTGTAATCAGGCATCAAAATTACGGAATGGCCTGCATTAGTAATGTAAACCTTAGGGAGATTTTACTTTCTTTTCGTTTTCCTTAAAAAGGCCTCCTACTTAAATAATAAGAATTTTATAAATTTTAAGTTTCAAATGCAATTGTTAAACTTGAGTTTTCATTCTAAATATGTAGTCTTTTTTTTTTTTTTCAATATCATAAGGCTTTAATATCTGGCAATAATATTCTGTTGTAGAGAAGTTGTTTTATGATTTAGTGGTAACTTTTGCCAGCAATAAATTGAGGTAATGGAAATAACTCCGGTTGCTGACGAAAAACAGTTAGCAGATGCAATGGGAAACTCCTCAGCGTAAGAATGTTAAAAATGTTTTAATATTTCTTGTAAACTAGTGTAATAAATTAAATAAAGGGTTTCTTAAATAAATTAGTGATTTGAAAATAACCTGCGGTTTTAACAAGAATCTGGGAACAAATCCATTTCTAAATTAATACAATGTCCTTCCCCTACTTAAAAAAATTGATTTAATTATTGTGCTATACAGCCTTAAATAAAAATTACAACTGCATTCATAAGATTGCATTTTTGAAGATTCCGCTGTATATACTTATTTTACATTTATTGTTTATATTGTGCGTTCAAATTTATAAAATTTTGCAGAGTTAGTCAGTTCTGTTACAGAGGTATGTAAAATTTGAAAGATTTTAAGGTACTATTCCGTTAGAATGGTATCAGTTAAAAATGAACCGTTTTCCCCATACACACCAGTTGTTGCGAAGTATTAAATTATGCAATAATAATAGAGTTCAAAAGACTTAAACTTCCGTAAAAAGGAAACTTTTCAAATTTTTTAATACATAAAGAAAGTAATTTTCTGTTTTTAATATTTAAACTACAATACACATAAATAAAAAGTAACAAAGCAAAACGAAATTCAATCTAAACAGGTGGCATAAAATTATAAATATCATTCAGTATTGCAGAAAAAATTTCAGTTTTTGAATATAACCAATGCCAGATAAATTCTGTCAAATATGACTCAAAATGGTTGTGAGCAATGTCCAGCTGATGTTTAATTTCTCCATTTAGGACTGCCATACATTCGCTCCATAGTTTGGATATGACATCCAGTTTCGGAGTCTAAACAATTATAACTGATTCACGGTAAAATATTCATACCAAGCATTTCTTAATTTCTCTCTTATACTCTTTCTAGCAATCTGAAAATATAATGCTGCTATCCGTGATGTTTTCCTGAATAGCAGTCATCAATATTGTAGCACAATAATCAGGAATGGTGACCAGAAAAAATTCTTTGCTTTTCCAGCATAAAATCCTGAATACCCACTGCTCCATAAGAACACGTCCAACATTGTTTTTTTCCTTTTGTGAAAAGACTTTAAAGTAGCTATTCCAATCTATTATCGTATTATGGCTGATTTCTAACTGAAATTAGCAAAATTCAATCACCATCAATTCAATCCTTTTTTTTTCACAGCAAGAACGTACGTAGCAACGCCATATAGGTGCTTTGGTTGAGTTAAAAGTTAACTTCATTGAAGGATTTTGAGAACAGTCTATTGCAATGAATTATCCTTTGTCCTGAAAGAATTTTATGACAGCCTCTTTGTCATTAGGTAATTGCCAAATTGTGTAATCCATCATACAAAAAAATGGCGAAATATGGCTAAAAAATAACAAGTTGTGATGTTTCAAACGTTAAATTCTCGAGCCACGATATTTGGCATGTTGTAGCATTGTTTTCTTCTTCATTTTTAACTGACACTGCTCTAATGGAATAGTACAAATTTTAAATGATTAGTTTGAAGAATGCACAGACATAAGCAGGAAAACTGCTACATCAGTGTGGGCCACACCAAAGTATGGACATTTGTGGAGGTTTGTAAACAGCTGTAATCATATAATTTGATCTATTAAATGTAAAGATTATGTTTTTACCATTGAGTGCCAAACATGGTTTCAGTTTAATGAAATCCCAATGCATTTTAACATAATGATGCATAATTATTTAAATGCCACTTTTGAGGGCAGAGGTAGATATTACTTAACCACGGGGAACTACTCTGATATGCGCCCTCAAGTCGCCAAATTTCTCGTTTGGCGAGAAACTTCACGCGGCCATATTACTATCTAAATTTTTTGTCTACATTTCGAACTTTAAGTCTAAAATGTCTCCAAAAACATGGTTTTCGCACATGCAAAAACTACGTTTTGAACACACGATTTAAGCTAAAAATCCGAAACAAAAAACAAAAAATTTAGATAGCAAAAATGTAAAGTTTCTAACCAAAAATATTTGACAAGAATCCATGTACACAGCGACATGTTTTAACTTAAAAAAACATCTACGAATGGCACACTGTAGGCAACGAACGAATCTACGAACTATGCACACCTCGCTTTAATAAATTAACATAACAACAATAAATTTCAAAGAATACCATGTATACAGCGTTCTGTTTCAACTTTAAAAAAATCTATGAATTGCACAATCTACACTAAAAACAAATAAAGAAAATAAACTAAAATAAATTTCAGACAATTCAAAAAACAATAATAAAAATGGAAATTCATACAAAAAACAATGAATATAACATTCAATAAAATAAAATGCACTTACCATAATGAAAGCTTCTTTTAAAGGCAGAAATATCTTTACCCCCTATCTTCTCAGATACAGAGCATACAAAGTCCAAAATACATTCGTTAATAAAATTTCGCCAGTCACACAACGTCTGTGAAGGAAACTTCCACGATTTTTCTATATCACATGCCTTCCTATGATTCAAAATTTCGAAAGTAACAATAAAAACTTCCTTCAACGTTAACTTGCTACACGAAAACCAAGATCCAAAACTTAAACTCCGCATACTTTATTAGCAACAATTTTACCGCAAACCCACACAAGTCTATCAGAAACACCATTTTTCGTTCGAGTTCTCATATCAGCTCCGCATTTCGGATACGTCAAACTCCGTTTTTTCAGAAGTCCTGACTTCCCACATGAATTCCAAAAATACACTTCGATGCGCATAAACACATCCCGTGAACAAACGACTCGTTAACAACTCCAACATCGCTTCCTTTTCAATACTAAATTTACTCTGCACACAATCTAAAATACGCGGCTGAAACCTTCCCACCACGTCTTTCATCGCAACACAGACTATTTCAAAAACGCATGCAACACGAACCAACTAGCAATTAAACTACTCCACCAAAAGATTTTTCAATGTCGACATGGTTGTCATATAACACACAATTGTGCCAATAACCAGCACAAAACACATATCGTCACATTTGGTGAAATTAGGGTGTTTATCAGAGTTGTACCAACCACGGATTGCCAGATTTGTAATTTGCTTGGTATCTTTAAAAATCTAAGAAAGTCGGTGCATTGACATTACCACTTGTGTACTACAGTTAGCAGTTGTTCTTTTAGCCTTCCCCTACTTAAAAAAATTGATTTAATTATTGTGCTAAGGGAAGGCATCCCTCCCTTAAGGCAGATAGCCCTTGCTTTGTCATAATCTAATAAAACCAAAACCAATCAAGTGACTAAGGGTTTGGCACAAGTATCCTAAAGTTCACAAAAAGATCATGAATAAGTGGTATTTTCTCAATTATAATTCCAAAATTACTTTCCCACTTTGTATCTTGATTCTTTCTCTTCGATTATATATGTATATTTATTACTTTAATTAATTGCTTGCACAACAAATATTTTTGAACGTATATATAGTTTGGGATCTTCGAGGGTTAGGGGATTGTTTGGTCACTTGGAGAGACCTAATTATATGGTTAGGTCGCATTAACTTTAAAATGAGTTGAATAAAATTTTGGGCCATTTTCACTGTATGGTAACTATGAAAATTACTGGCTGGGGAAGAATTTAAAGTTCGAGTTTAAATGTAAGTTTAATTCCTAATTCCTATTCAAGAAGGGAAAGGCAACATTTGTTATGAGCAGCAGTAAATGGCTACAAATGTTGTATTTTGGACTTCGTGTCTTTATGACATTTGCTACTAATAAAAAAGTTTACTGCATGTTCTCAGATTGAAATATTTATATACTAGCAGCTAAGCAGCCAGCTTTCTTCTGGCTTTTAAATGTACCAGAAAAATTAAAAAAAAAAAAAAAAGTATTACATATAACAAAATTACTATGAAATAAGCAATATCCTGTAATACAAATATTAATTATCCTAATAAATAAATTAACCAACTTCCCGTTGTCTTTCAACAAGCAATTTAAAAATTGCACGGAATTATCGTCCTCATTTTTCCGAGTGGCAACAGTGCAGATTTTCAACAGTCAGCAGTCCAGTATACAATTGAACAAGGAGGTTAGAATACAAGGAGGGAGGGTTCGCCGTTTCCTCCGCTATCGGCGAATGAAACCTCCGCCGAACAAGCGGCGTCCATGTTTGTGACTTCAAAACATTGTATTATGTCAATGACATGTACGTGTTTCTAAGCTGTTCCGTGTATGTATTTTCCAGTAAAAATATGTTAAATTTATAATGAAATGCATCCATAATTTAGTATGTGCAGCAAATTATTAAGAAATAGTTCAAAATCTAAATGCATGCACATAACATTAAAGCCTTTAAAAAATGATGTTTCTGCATATTTCATGGATTTGCTTAGGTTTCATTAGCAACCTGTTGGGTGTACTTCCCAAATTTTCCTTTAAAAAGTGATATTTCTGATTTATTCACAATATTATCATAATTTATTAAAGAAATTTCATATACAAAGTTTAAGGTATAGGAAAGAAAGTTATTTTATTTTACTATGCTTAAATACTTCAGCTTTTATTACTAATACATTAAAACAGAAATTCACATATTATTTATTGGCTATAGCACTTGTAATAGCTAATTTCAGGAGACTGATACTTGATGCAAATAGTATTTCATTTTTTTCAAGCACTTATTGGCATAGTTTAAAAAATTTAAATAATTCTTAATTTCGATTAGAAAACACATTGTGACTTTTTATCTTTTATCAATTTTTAGAAATATTTTAGGGGAAGGGAAGACTGTTTTTGTGGAAACCTGAGAAAAGTATTAATTTTGATTAAGCTACGGTAAAGGAAATAACTTCATGGAATCAGAAAATCTAAAATGCTGAACAAATAGAGATAAAAACAAACAGCAAATAGATTTGCATAATACATGTCAAAAGTGACAGTTCATTAAGGGACGATGGATTTACATGGTTGCTCAGCTGAGTGCATCTCCAAGTTAAAAAAATTATAAGCTTATTTAAATTCTATTCTGACTTATTTGTAATGCTTTCCTGATCAGAAAATTTCTACGCATAATG